TTCATGTAATGAAAATAAATTACATTAACAATATAAACATACAATAAACATCAGTTGTAGTATCAATAATACCAGCCTTAGCTTTGATAATCAAAATCAAAATGATGATAATGAATACAAAAAACAATGACAAGAATAACATCAATGATCATATCATAAAACATAATATCAACAACCATAACTATAAAAAGTATCTATATTGATACTACAACAACGACAACAATAACAAAAATTAAATAAAAAAAGCAATAATCTTGATGATGATAATGTTAATAATAATGATGATAATGATGATAATAAAAATAATTATAATAATATTAATAATATTAATAATAATAATAATAATAATATTAACAAACTCAACAACAACAATAATAACAATAACAATAATAATAATAATAAATAATAATGACAATCATAATCATTATAATAATAATAATGATAATATTAATAATATTAATAATATTAATAATATTAAAAATATTAATAGTATTAATAATATTAATAATATTAATAATAATAATAATGATAATTCTAAAAATAATAATGACAATCATAATCATTATAATAATAATAATAATGATAATTCTAAAAATAATAATGACAATCATAATCATTATAATAATAATAATAATAACAACAATAACATAAATAATAATAACAATAATAATAATAATAACAACAATAACATAAATAATAATAACAATAATAATAATAATAATAATAATATAATAATAATAATAACAACAATAACATAAATAATAATAACAATAATAATAATAATAATAATAACATTAATAATAATAATAATAATAATAATAATAATAATAATATCAACAAACTCAACAACAACAATAATAACAATAACAATAACGATAATAATAATAATAAAAAAATAATGATAATGATAAGGATGATAATAATAATTATAGTAATAGTAATAATAATAACAACAATAACATAAATAATAATAACAATAATAATAATAATGATAATTCTAAAAATAATAATGACAATCATAATCATTATAATAATAATAATAATAATAATAATAATAATAATAATAATAATAATAATAACAGCAGTAACAATAACAAGGAGGAGGAGGAGGAGGAGGAGGAGGAGGAGAAGAAGAAGAAGAAGAAGAAGAAGAAGAAGAAGAAGAAGAAGAAGAAGAAGAAGAAGAAGAAGAAGAAGAAGAAGGAGGAGGGGGTGAGGGGAGGGGATGGGGGGAGGAGGGGGAGGGGAGGGGATGGGGGGAGGAGGGGGAGGGGAGGAGATGGGGAGGAGGAGGGGGAGGGGATGGGAGGGGGAGGAGGAGAAGGAGGAGGAGGAGGAGGGGGGAGGGAGAGAGGATGGGGGAGAGGAGGAGGGGGGGAGGGAGAGAGGATGGGGGAGAGGAGGAGGAGGGGGAAGGGAGGGGGAAGGGAGGGATGTGGGAAGGAGGAGGAGGGGGAAGGGAGGGGGGAGGGGGAGGGGAGGGGATGGGGGGAGGGGGAGGAGAAGGGGGGGAGGGAGAGAGGATGGGGGAGAGGAGGAGGAGGAGGGGGAAGGGAGTGGGAGGGGGGAGGAGAGGGGATGGAGGGGATGGAGGGGATGGGGGGGAGGAGGAGGAGGGGGATTATGACTACTCTTACATTCTGTGGAATTATGGTTACTTAGTTTTCTAAAAGATTCTTTCAAGGGCATCAGGATTTCTGTAACCCAACTTACAAGAATTCATGTTTCTATGCAAGAAGATGCAATGTGAGCATATATAAAGGAGGGTATATTGACCCATTGCCTGGAAACAAAGTAAAGTCTTTCCAATGATGTAGACTGTAGCTGCCTTTGGTATCAAGAATAATAATTTAGGTTTATTATTGTTACCACAGTCACCTAACACTGCCAAAGGGTTAATATACTTCCTACAACTACCTCTGCTACAACTAACAACAAAAATAATTACAAATATTTCTCACACTATCATAAAATTAAGAAAGATAATAAAGACTCAAATATCAAAACATTACATCAGTGTAACCACCACCTATGCCATTTCATTATTATAGAACCAAGTTTAATGATAATAATAAAATATAAAAAATCACAGTAACAATAACAGTCACACTCATAGCAGGACAGACTACAAACAATGATGATGATGATGATGCTGGTGACAAAAATCATGCATTACTCTTGATGCGGATATTCATGAGGAATTTGACACGATCGTGGTAATCATGATAAAAATATTTTTGATAATGAGGGGAGGATCAGGAAAACATGACTTTGCCCAGTGAAAAGGCCTATAGCATATTCATGTGATTTCCTCCTCTTTTCTTAACTGTTTTGTTTACATCTTGTGCATTTATGGAGATGAAGACGCAGATAACCAAATCATACTTTCATTATCGGTTCTAGTTAACCCATTCGCCACGTTTGGCATCTAATCTTGCCATGCGGTTAATGGACCCCAACACGTTTGGCATCTAATCTTGCTATGGCTTCTAGGAGCCCCACAACGTTTGGCATGTATTTCTGCCATGATGACTGACTACAGACTGACTGTTTATTATTTTTTTTACCTAATAGATGGCTCTGCAGCTAAGTCTTACTTGATTGGCCCACAACATTTGGCATGTATTTCTGCCATGAAGACTGACTACAGACTGACTGTTTGTTATTTTTTTTACCTAATAGATGGCTCTGCTGCTAGTCTTACTTGATTGGTCATGTCATCTGTTGATATAGACAACTAAACTTACACAGTATAACCTCTCATATCAATACAAAGCTATTTTTGAGCATTAAAGTGAAGCTACATTCACTTCTGCTTTTCTTCCTTTTCTGTTGAAAGAAATAAAAAAAAACATGGTTTGATCTCTCATATGGACAATGCACTACTTCTGAGCATCAAAATGATATTTGGCTTGCTGCTGAGCTTCATATTTTGCTTCATTTGAAAGTTTGAAAAAAAAACAAAAAAACGGCTAAGTCCATAGTTTGCCATATCGTTCAAAATCAACAATAACTTTTAGTTTCAAAGGGTTCATGTCATCTGTAAATATAGGCAACTTGGAAGCGATTCAGTATTTCTCCTAATTGCAAAGGTGAAAGAGTGCCTAGAAAACACCATGAGAAAAGTGCAATTTCTACACATTACCTTCATATAAAACCCAACTTTACTACAAGATCTATGGACAGATTACTGCAAAATTGATATGATGGTCTTTGCGCAGCCGCGCCGCGCCAGAAAAAATCCCGTGGCGGGGGCCCACGCGGCTGGCAACTATTCCCGTGAGCAGGGTTCAGCGTCGAGTGAAAAATTCCGTGGCGAATGGGTTAATCTAAAAATCTGGTTATCTAGATCATCTTATTCATCTAGGTTTGGATATCATTTATCTGTAAATAGCTAATTCGTCAGGGTAATCTTATTTCAGAAATTGCACATCAAGACCAAAACAGCTCACTCGAGAACCATAAAATCTTTTATCTCACCTGAATTTGCCTTCTTGGTCTTTTGCGAGTGATTACCCTTATATAACATCATTGCAGCTGCCCAATCTTTCCTGTTCTACAAACATGTCAGCGCCCTTCTACCTTGAACAGAGAACCAGCTTGGAGCCACTGTTGGGCCTAGAAGCTTCCTATTCCTTTTTTAGTATTTTGTTTCCCCACATAATTATGACATTCCTTGTGAATGGTAAAGTTTCTCTTTTGTTTACCTTATAGTTGGAGGTTGAAATAAGATACATTACAGGCACAATATAGCATGATCAAAAATGCTCAAGAATGGTTTTTATTTATTCAAATTCGATGTATCTACACCCTTTTATTCTCTTATTACTTACAGGGTGGTCTTGCTTTTCTCATACATGTAACAAAGAGGTATCTATATACAGCCTTGCGTTCTTGATACAAAGAATACTCTCTAACGGTATGATCTGTTGCGTTACAGTGATGCTGAAATGTAAACAGTGACCCACATGAGCTTCTTGTGTTTTAAATTTCATTTATGCTAGTTCTTACAATAGTAATCTTTTTATCTTTACTCCATCATATTTTCCATTAATACTCCAGCAGCTAGGCTTATGAATCAAGGTTTCTTTACATTTAATGCCCACTTGTGTTTTAAATTTCATTTATGCTAGTTCTTACAATAGTAATCTTTTTATCTTTACTCCATCATATTTACCACTAATACTCCAGCAGCTAAGCTTATGAATCAAAGTTTCTTTACATTTAATGCCCACTAACATTCCATATGGCAGAATCCATACTGAAAATTATTCCTTGACATTCTACAACAGCTGTGTTTGTAAACAATGTGCATGTCTGTTAGGCATAATGCCTCTCAAGACTGCGGCATTTGTGCGCCACACGGAAAATGCACATACCACACTACAGCCTGTTCTGTTGAAAGTGTGTGCTTAGTAGTACCTCGAAGTGTCAAACAGAACACAGGGCAGTGTTTACCTTTGATTCCAGCTCCCTAAAAAAAATCTGTGAAGTTACTTATCTCACTTTCTTATAATGAGAGTTACAATTGTTTGATTGCTTCTTAATCCGTGTTTGAAAGATAAAATAATAACATAAAATATTGATAAAAAAGTGTGACCTAGAATCATCATCCAAATCACAAAAACTAAATAAATAAATAAAATAATTATTAATATAGATTAAATAAAAAAAAAAATCCAGAGATTCATATCCAATAAAATCTCATGACGGAAAATACCCAGTTAAAAATGACATTAGTAAGTTCTTAAGTGCTCCCTCTTTGGGCTTTCATTACAGACAAATAATAAACATGGGTGTTACAACACAAGTTCTGACTACAGTTCCACAGCCCCTCCTTGAAAATGTACACATACTCTATCCTACAAACAAATCCAAATCATATCTGAAGCATAAAAATGTAAAATAAGTGAAATCAAACTCACCTTCACGAGAGAGAACTACACTTGAACCTAGCATAACAAAGAAGCCCCATGGACTATTAAGATTAGGCAACTCACCCTACGTCGTCTGCTGTCTGTCCGTCTGATGTGATGCCAAAGGACCATCAGCATTTGGGAATCAAGTCCAGTGAATTCTTCATTACGTTCTTTGTGGCGCTTACTTAAATTGGACTTGAGAGTCTGGAAAAAATGATAATAATAATAATAAATATTATATTAATAATAATAATAATAGTAAATGAACAATATATGTGTAGCACACACTCATGCTCACGCACATGCTCACATTCATGCACACACTCACACTCACACATATACTAATTAATACTCACACAGATGTTCATTGACACTTTCACACACTTTCAAACCCAGACAAACACTCATTCATAGTTAGTCAGTCACACACACACAAACACACACACACACACAAGCACTCATTCACACTCACACTCATGCTCACACACAGATTCACTTTACACACAAAGACATGCAAATATAAACTGTAGCCTACCTGATCCAGGTTGGGCAGGTCTGGATCTTCTTCACACGTTGGCACCCAAATTTTAACATCATCGTCAAGGCCACTTGTAGCCAGCACTGGTATGTGAGGATGTGGCTCCAGCACATTAACCTTTGTGATTGCAAACAAAACATGAAAATTATTCACAGTATATATTTTCAACTAAATTATATAATGAAAGAAAAACAATACAATAAAAATTGCTGGCAAATATTTTTTTAATTTCTCACTAGTAAACTAATTACATATAGGACCTACCACTCCATTCTCATCTCCTGGCATGCACTGGACAATGGCCTCAGTCTCGCGATGCCAGAAGAATATGTTTCCACAGTCAGACCCTGATACAACGTACTGGCTTCCAGGACCAAAGAAATTCACACCCTTAACTGTTGGGACAGAAAGATTGTATAAAATGAAGAAGATCTATATTACTTAGTATAAAAAAAAAAAAAAAAAAAAAAAAAAAGGTGATCAACAACTGCAAACTATATTTGGCGATCTCAATAATAATCTGTTTCTTATCTATGAAAACAAGTCTGTTATTCTATGTGTCATATCCATTTCCAAGCCATTGGATGAAAGAAACTGTTCAGAAAGAACACACACGAACACTCATGTACAGTGTTATGACACTTTGCCTCCCCTTTGCAATGTCATTATTTCCTATTCTGCATAAGTGTTTTTAGTTTTTATATTTATCATTTATCATTGTCATTTAATATGTTGTACCCAGATGGTAATAGACCATTTTCCTTGCACAGACTACATATCATCTCTCTAGGTATTCCACACCTCAGTGCAATAATAATAATAACAGTAATTTTTTTTTTCTTTTTTAATATTTAATCTTCAATCTTCTATAATACACTATGCCCCGCCAGTCAAAGTGGAAAGGAATAGGATCCTGAGCATGGAGCCAGTGCTCTTCACAGATGGTACATTCTACACTTGTTTAGTGATAGAAATATTGCAAGAGCCCCCTCCTAAATGCCCACTGAGTCTAATTACCCTCCAAGAGTTATGTGGACTTATCGCTAATCACTCCCATCAACTTGACCTTCAGCCAAAATTCTCATGATGGCATGTTCCTGTCACATGGCCCTCAAACTAGATCTTTCATGGCTTGATGGTCACATCTCCCAGATCCATGGGGTTAATCCATTGGATTCAAATGCTTCCCTGCCATCATGTGGCCCAAAACACAGGTATTTAGCTAGTAGGTGACTCCTTGGTGAGTAAACACTTGTGGAGCTATCCAAGAGTAAAAAAATATAAACAATAATAATAAAACAAACCAAAGTGAAAAGGGCACGTACCTATTATCAATGGTTTATTAAAAATATTGCAATTGTGAATCATCACTTTATCAAGGATGTAAAAATTCATGTCAGCATAACAATGCATATTTTCTTCTCTTGTCTATTGAATTCTATCAAAATATAGACCCTCATTACGGTAATTTTTTGACCTATATCATGAAAGACAGAACTGTGATATGCTATAGTACTTCTATTAAAAAATGCTTTTATTATTTACATACCTGTAGCACTATTACGATGGCCGGAGTATCTATGGACTGCATCTGCAGCTTCAGAGCGGGATGTATCAAACAGATAAATGTCATCATCATTGTATGATGCCAATATAGAGTCCCCATTACCGCTGTAAACTGCACAAGTTACTGTTGGTGTCGGGACAGCCTCATACTGTAAGTAATCATAAATGTAAATTCTAATGGAAAAAAAAATATATACATATATCACAACTTACACAAACTGAACAAACAGTTAGGAATACTTACATACTAATGGCAAAATATCCCCATAGCAAAGTTTAATGTTGTGAAACCATAAATCTCCATGAAAATGTTGTGATCACTTTAGTATTGTTTTGTGAAATGTCTCTGCACACAAATGGCTCAGCAAGTGCTTAGCCACAAAGGAGTCAATTAGATGACCTTGTGACCTCACCTGATTTCAGCTACCTTGAGTTTGCACAAATGTTTTTTTTTTACTAATACTATCAATAACGATGGTGTTGTTTTTATTACAGACATTGTAGTTATCATAGTGTTAATGACCTTACTAACACCAATATCAGATACCAGAAAATACTTTTGAAAATCAAGGAAAAGGATAAACAGGTGAGACAGGCAGTATTTGTAATTGGCTCATAAGTGACTTAGTACTTGTCAAGCCATGTATGTGTAAAAACAATTAATAAATTAAATTCACAGTGAGCATGTCCCATCAATACATGCCATCCCCTCTTCAAGTAAAGAGACAAATCTAAAGACTGGGAATTCAGCTTACCAAATGTCTCGGACAGTACTTCAAAATTGGGAAGTCATTCGCACAACGTCGGTCATATACTCGAACATACTGATCGTGCCCACTAACGCAAAACTGATTTTCATTGATTGGATGAGCATGGATGCTATAGAGGGAGACGCGGCTACCAGAAATGTCCTTCACAAATGCCACCCTGAAAATTCAAAAACAAATAAGTACAAGATCTCCATCCATAAAAAAGATGAATAGTAGTAAAAATTATGACACTACTGTGTTTGACAGTACTCTTTGTAGAAAATATAGAAAAAGGAAGGTATGACTAAGAATGAAAATCTTCACAGTGCAAGAGATGCATTCCATTATATCTAAATCAGAAGATAAAATCAAAGCCACTCAAATATGTCTGTTGAGCTGTTATTTTTTGGATATTTCTAAAACTGTTTTCCATGGTTTCTGATATGATATTACCACTTAATATATATTCTTATTCCACATACACCGAAAAAATATCAGTGCCAAGTAGAGTCTATCTGACAAGATGAAAAATTATCTTCAAATACAAGCAACCACATAAGCACAAAAACCTGCTAGGCTGTTCCTGACGAATATCAATATTAAGTACAACAGCATCTTCTCCAGCAGATAAAACAACATGTGGGGAGGTAGGGAGGGTGGCAAGCTTATGTGCTGGGCCATGATGCTTGGCCAATTTTCTTGTGGCCTTGCACACGCCAGTGGAGGATAGTTCAGCCAAACGAACTTGTCCATCCCTTGCACAGGATACGATGTGTGTGTCACCACTCAGTGGTAGGAACTTGCTCTGAAAGAGAAAGTACATAAATACTGCTTTAAACAACTTATGTAAGAGAAAAAGAATAATCTATAATCTAACAAAGACCAGGTAATGAAATTAAAATCCATTAAAAATTTTGATTTGCAGAACAGCAAGTTATATGAAACTGGTGTGCATTTTTAAAAATGACAACTCTACAAAATGTTTTCTTTTGGATCAAAATATAGATTCCGTGATCATAAAATTTCCATACAAAATAAACTTCTTACTGTTGTAATGAACACAGACTTTATATAAATAAGTTTCATATAAGAATCTTATAATACTTCAGAGCATTGAAAAACAGAGGGGAAAAAGAGGAAATAAGCAAATTCGCTCTTACCTGGAACACATTATTCCTATGTCCACTGTAGAATGTGATAATGGCTTTCTCTCGAGCCCAATCCCAAATGGCAATCTGGAAATCATCAGAGCCACTAGCAAGCCTGGTGCCACTCGCATTGAAGCTTAGGGCATTAACGCATCCCCTGTGGAACTCCATCTTGTACATGAGTTCAAGGCGCTTAGGTACGTGGAGTGAGTCATAGTAGTGGTGACTAAATAACACTGAGGATTGGTACCTTGCTCGACTGCCTAACTGCCTGGAATGAGTTAGAGAGAATTGATTCAGAATATTTTGTATTTATGAATCCTTCATTGATATCAATCCCAAGTGAATATCAATGACATAATCTTATGCAATCAGAAAATTACATTCATCCTATCCACACACCAACCTCTGAACAACTTGATCTACGAAATTCCAATGGTGTTTTGGTTTGGGCCGTTCCTTAATTCTTGTCATTTCTTTGGCAATGGCTTCTTCTGTGTCCTTCCACTGTGTTTCATTCTCTATGCCATCCTGGAGACCCCTACGTCGCCCACCATCATCAGAGTCAGAATCTGTGTCTGACAGAAGTCCACCAAATATTCTTTGGCTGCTGAAACGTCGCTCAATACGACGTTCCATTGGTGGAGAGTCATCTTCAATACAAAACAAATTACAATATTACAGTATGCTATGAGTAATAAAGTCACTATTCTTACAATTGCAAAGAATACTGGAACTGATTAAATATATTCTAACTCAACAGCAACTGGTAATATTTTGGTAAACTTTGGCATACATTATGCAAGACCTCATTTAAGCAATCAAGACATTAGCTTATGTGTGAGGCCTCATATTGTGTCACCAATTAATCACTATTAAGTGATATCAGCTATTGCTAATGGATTAATCACCTTTCCTCATATTTTTGACACAAAAACAAACATTAAATAGTGTAGAGATCCTTGATATATAAGCACCCATAAAATTCATAACTGTTGTCTGACCTGAACTTTACCTGTGTTATCATCCTCTGTGTTTCCACTTGCAGCACTTCCAGTTTCCATTGCTGATGGACTAGTA